AGGCAGCCATAAAAATTGTGGAACTTAAGAACTGTTATCAGTGTTAGCATGAAGGTTCATTCATTTGTTTGCAATAGAAACCCATTATTAGTTGCTCTCCTGTTTTGGAACTGCCCAATGAGGGAGAAGAAGCACTACCAGGTGACACAAGTGGGAAACCACACCATGTAGTCAGCAGATAGTTCAAACACAGAGGACCCTGATGATTCACAGGCTGGAGATCATTGATGTGCAATGACTGGGTACTTCCTTAACAATATGACCTAACATTCATTACACAGGGTGAAGATAGTTGCCTGCAGATGAAAGATAAAATGAAATTGGGAGCACAGAAGTGAAACCAGATGGTGCAATTGCTGAACAAGTTTGAGGAAGCTGTCACAACCCAAGGGTGTGATTTTGTTTGTGTGTGCTTCGGCACTGCTAAATTATTTCCCACCACGAGGAGCTTTCTTTGCAGGGTGCATTTCTTAGTTGCAAAGAGAAATGCACGGTGCAAAGGAGTTCCCGCCACCCGCATGCAAATTTGTGTCCCACTATTGGCCAGTTCTAAATTATTCCCACGTGGCGGCTAGCGATTGGCTTGCTAGCCGTATAAGAGGCTTGAGTGGTTTCCGCCCAAGTTGGAGAACTCCGAGGAGAACCCCGCAAGGGAGGACTCCACAACCATCTGGAGGAGGAGAACTTCACGTCTTGTGAAGATCTCCAAGCGCTGCGGAGGCTATTGAACCCAGCGCAGGCTATAGGGGTCTGATCAACCTCTGGCCTCTCCCCGTCGCCGAACGATCCCTCGACGAACCCCTTCCCTGCGCGCAAGTTCCATGGAGCCTAGCAAACTTCGTGTGAGTGTATCCAGAGCTCTGCCCGGGTTCAAGTCCTGCAGGTTTATCTTCCCGTCGCCGAAAACCCATTGCGACGTACTCTCGTGTTTTGCATCTTCCCGTCGCCGAAAACCCCCTGCGACGTACTCTCGTGCCCTGCAGGTTCGAGTTTTGTTTTGTTTTGTAACTGCAACTCAAGCAAGTTTTCCTGCCTGCACCGCGACCATCTTCGGTGTAAGTAAAATAATCTTTAATCAACCGCTAAGCGTCCGTGCCTAATTCTAGCCCGCCGGCCTGCATTCCCCGACCCGGCGTGTCCAGGCTGCTGGCCACAGCCCGCCGCGCACAGGCCCCCGAGGGCCTCGGACCGCTCCCAGCCCGCACAGAAGCTAATATTAATATTAACGCCATGCAAAACACGTTAACAAATCAAGAATGAGCTTTAATACTCGCGAGTGGGGTGGAAACTTGAGTCGATGGAACTGTTTTCTGACTAGTCTATGCTGATCATAAGTACCTAGGGTTACTGACACCATGGGTAAAGCTGGGACATCGAGACCTTGGCTCTCCAGGAGAATCCAGTTTGGTTGGAGAGAGGTGAGGAATGCGTCTCCCCATGACAACTGGGTTCAACTGGAGGGAGATGAGACAGCAACCACACAATGCAGAGTGGCTAGAGTTGCGATCCCTTCCTATCCCACAGCACTCTCAGCCACTATTGTCTATGCACCTGCTAAACCAAAGGGCAATGTCCTGGATGCCAACAGGGTGTTAGGAACTACAGGAACATAAGAGGACACACAGTCCCTGCTCCAAGGGATCTTATGATGCCACAGACAAAGCAGTTCAGATGTATATGACACCCCAGGTGATGGCACAGGTTCTGGGAGGTGCTGAAACTTTACAGACATCATGAAAGAACCATAGTGCAAGGCAGTGGTTTTCAACCTGCACTCTGCAAACCCCACCACAGACTATGTCTAAGGGGTCTGCGAAAGATGACTAGGATCAATCAAAAGTATGCGACTACCTACACTTATAGTTCAAAGGGGTCTGCACCTCCATTCAAAATTTCCAAAGGGGTCTTGCACCTCCATTCAAAATTGTTTAGGGGTCCACAAATGAAAAAAAGGTTGAAAACCACTGGTCTTTGAAGAAGATGGACATTGTTTCAAGGTGGTGGTGAGAGGAATATCCTGAACTCAGGGTTTAGAAAGGCATATGGGCCTCTATAAAGGTAAATTTTTGTAGTGCAAGCAGGGAGAAATGAAGATGGCATGGGTGAGACAAGCAAGCTCACAGGCTCTCACTTGCACTAAGTCCCTACTTCGGCAATGTAAGGGGCTTTCACATAACTCCCATTGGTGCCTATTATAAAGGTACTTTCACACTACTCGTGCAGTGCCAAATGGCCCTGGTGTGGAATTAGGCCCAGGGTCTTATTCACATGAATGAAAGGGAGTCACCCCTGATTAATAACAGTGGAAGTGGGAGGAGAGTCAGGCATATCATTTCTAAAAATGGCATTTGAAAAGAATCCAGGAGACTGAAAAATATAGAGTGCCAGATCCTTCAGATTTGTCCAAGAGAGGCTTTTGCGGAAGATAGGAAAAGCGTGATGTGTTAATATCAAAAGGACTAAGCAGTCTTTAGCCAGCTGATTAATGGAGGCAGAATTCTATGGTCCATTAATTTGCAGCAGGGAATGCAGACAATCTGTAGATAACTGAAGTCATCTAGCAATATCTTGCAAAACTACCCATTTATATGAAGTGAGTATCATGGCAGATCCTCACTTGCACACAATTTCCAGCAATATCAAAATCATGATACTTCTATTGCACTTTACAATAGTATTCTGTAGCATTTCATAGATTCATAGATGTTAGGGTCGGAAGGGACCTCAATAGATCATCGAGTCCAACCCCCTGCATAGGCAGGAAAGAGGGCTGGGTTCAGATGATCCCAGCCCGCTGC